TCTACTTGAGAGAAACTCTTCTTTTATAACAATTCTTTGGCTATACTAATTACATATTTTGTGTTATAGATTTACAAAATAGAAACAAAAATATTAGCTAGAAACTATTTGCAAGAAAATTATTAACTAAAAATTATCAGCTGAAAATTATCAGCTTGATAACACAAACAATTATCTAAACACATAAATGAGAAAGAGTATAACAAGGAATTTTCTAAAAAGGAAAAAGGAGCATAATATTTTAAGTACTAAATAATGTAAAGAAATTATGGAATTAGAGAATTTAGAGTTGCTACGGTAACAATACGTACATCAGTTGCTTATTTTAGAAATAAGCATTAAAAATTTGTCGTTATTAATTTTCTTTCGTAACATTTCCTTCTCTCTCATAGTGACTGGATATCAAACAACAAGACCAAGGAACTAAAGCGACTATCAAATTCATCCTATATCTCCAAAAACAAAGAAAAAACCACCTGATATTTCTATCTTAAATAGTCACGTTATTAGAGTATATCAAACAGATGAAAAAAAGTTACGGAATTCAAGGTAAAAAAAATAATCGTTTATATTTTATATGGTAAATGAGATCGATGAGATTAGTTTGTAAGAGTAGTTTTGAATCTGGTCTGGTTGTCGAACGGGCGGCTTTGATCAGGAAAAGACGAGCTCTCGGTAGGGGCCACTCAGTAGACACAGATTTTTATATTGTTAAACGGTCCCTAATAAAGTAAGATACTGGTTGTTGAACATGTAATCAAAATCATTTTTTGGTTTTACTCAATTAGCTATACATGTATTACAGTGCTCGTCATATATAATGAGAATGCTGTTTTTCTTATTGTGCTATTGAAAATTTGCAGATATACATTTCATATATTGTGATCAAGTTACTTTATAGAATATCTTATTGCAATTACTTCCAATTATCTAATTGAATCCTGATAGTACACTATAAATGAAACTAAGTCAATTAATCTAAATGGTAGTTTTTTGTTACATCATGAAAATTTAAATGTATATACTTTGATATATTACGAACAGCAACTTAGTAGTTTAAAGTATTAAAAAAAGCCAAAAAAAATTTTTTTTTAATTAAATTTATAGCATTATATCAAAATTAAAATCAAATATTTGAGAATAATAGAAATAATATATGTTATTAAGTAGTCTTAAGAAAGCTTGTTTGCAATATATTAAATTATATATCTGTAAATTTCAAGCAGTTTTTATAATGCAAAAATAAAAATGGCGACGTATTTTTCTCATTATATATGACGAGCACTGTATATTGATCTATCTAACTCACTTAATTATGTTAATTAGTTCGATAATTTTGATCAATGTATGGTGCATAAAATCTAAAGTCATCAAACGTTTGTATTTTACAAAATGTATAAACATCTTTACTAAGAAGTAAATACAAAATTTAATCCGTGAATATGATAGAATAGGCTTTTTCTGAGCATATTCACGGATTAAATTTTGTATTTACTTCTTAGTAAAGATGTTTATACATTTTGTAAAATACAAACGTTTGATGACTTTAGATTTTATGCACCATAAATTGGGCCGATCAATTTTTGTTAATGTAAAAAAATTAATTGGTTACTTTAACGTTAAGACATTTGGACGTAAATCCAGCAATTTGATTGGTTGGGACAAGCATTTCGACCAATCAAATTTCTGGATTTACGTCCAAGCGACAACACTGCTTTAAGACGCGATATTTCGACATCCAGTGATCCGATTTGAACAAAATACTATTATTCGATTTGCCTCGATTAGGCGAATCGAATAATAGTATTTTTGTCACCGGGTGTCAAGAATTAGATTCTTAGATATTGAGATGTATGTTGTGAAATAACTGATTGTATTTGGGATATGAGCATACAATATCCGATATAAAAGCGATCAGTGTCGTATTACATTTTATACCCAGAAATTTTGGTGATCGTTATAGTATAATTTTGGATGATGCGTTCGGATACTTATGGTCGCTACTGTAAGTTGAATAATTTTGAATGAATCTATTTCATACAATAAGCAATTTACAGAAGCAACATGGTGCTTTGATTTATGCCTTATTACCATTTATATACAATCGATAATTACTGTAATTTTCTCTAAATACTTGTAAATGTCTAAACGGTTTTTCTAAAATTATTTTCGTATTTCTTCCTACGATAGAAACTATTCAAAAAGTGTAAATTAAGTGAAGCCACTTACTTTCCGCTTTTTTCTTATCGCGATGCACGTATCATCATCATTAATACACATAGTTAGAAAAAGGGAGTTTTTGCCCATATTTGACTTGTTAAACCTTTGGATAGACTTGCACATTTTTTAATAGTTTTACGAGTTTGTTGTAGTTGTGTCAAAATCTAGGGAACCTCTAATAACTACAAAGGACTATAGCAAAACATAGAAGTTTGTCTAATGATTTAACGGTCGAAAGATTCTAAATACACACTAAGTGATTCAGAATCCAACAATATCCTATTCTTACTTACAACATGCATAATTTCTCATAAATAAAATTACTGCTTTTCGATTTAATTATTTGCATTCTTATTTACGTATTTCGGACATTAATTAACTAAAGCATTTCTCTAACTCGTCACAATAGTTGGAACTGGTTGACCAACAGTTTGATGATTAAAATAGCCAAACGTGGTTAACCACGATTTAAAATATCGTGTTGTTTTTTTCCTACATTTCTAGCATGTAAATATTTGAGTTTTAGATTTTATTTAATAATAGTATGTGAATAGAAAATATAAGCATAGCAATTAACTGTAATTATATACCTTGATGCTGACTAGCAAGTTATTGGACATTGAGATATATGTCCAACATTTTCCATGTCACAAAAATGCAAATATCTTGATGAATTGAATGATATGAAAATCATTTGAATCCAATTACTGAATATGGTGCATAAAATCTAAAGTCATCAAACGTTTGTATTTTACAAAATGTATAAACATCTTTACTAAGAAGTAAATACAAAATTTAATCCGTGAATATGCTCAGAAAAAGCCTATTCTATCATATTCACGGATTAAATTTTGTATTTACTTCTTAGTAAAGATGTTTATACATTTTGTAAAATACAAACGTTTGATGACTTTAGATTTTATGCACCATAGGACGTAATATCTCAACCCCCAGTGATCCGATTCGAACAAAAATAATACCATTCGATTCGCCTAGTCAAGGAAATTCGAATAGCAATATTTTGTTCGAATCGGATCACTGGGGGTTGGGATATTACGTCCTAAATTGAGTATTTATGTTCATAAATTTTCATGCCCTACAATAATTCGGTTGACGTCCAGTGACCCGATTTGAGCGAAAATACTGCCATTCGATTTGTCTAATCTAGACAAATCAAATGGTATTATTTTTATTCGAATTGGATCACTGGATGTCGAGATATTACATCCTTGACAATCTATAAATATACAAACGATCAGGTGTCGTATTACATTTAACGTCCAGAAAATTTGGGTGACCTTATACATGTAGTATAATTTGGACAATGACGGGCGGTCGGATACTTGTGATCTGTCAACTGTAAATTTATCGTTATTGAATAAGTATCATGTCAAGTCTGTCGTTGGCATTAAAACTTTACGATTTCTTTATGTTACAATGATATGTTTTTCTCCAAATTTAATTAATGAATCTTCTAGTTGATAGATTATTTTTGAGATTTGTAAAATTGTATTATGTTATCTGATCAAAACTAACCAAAGGTTGCTGCAATAATTTTCGAATCCTTTTTTATTCATTCTGACAAGATGAAAAAAATCACGTGTTGATTATTAATTATCTTGAATTTTTTTGTTTATATCATACAACATTCGGAATCCTTGATTTGAAACTTTCCGAAAATATCTAATTTTAGTTACTGGAGGAAAATTTTTAAAGTTTAATATGATGATCTCTAATGAGAAAGTTCTCAAGCAAACAAGAATATGCGTGCAACATTAATATGGTTTCTTTATATGTCTGTTCGCTCATCCACAACTTCTTATTTAGGCGAATAACCGCTCGATAATAGGAGAATTATTAGGTACATGCAACGTTTTTTTTTATTTTTTCCATTGGTATGCTAAAGCCAGGAATCTACTTGATACGTGCCCTTTGTTGATTTACAATTTGCTTTTATTTGACATAAAAGGAAAAAATTAACGAGATGTAAAAGGAAAAAATTGACGAGATGCATGCTTAGTAGGCGGAAAACCTCAAGAAAGTAGTTAGCGTTAAAGCAAAATGAGTACATAATAAATTAATTGTTTTCATATTGGATAGCAGTCAAAGTTTGAATTTTTGATATCGCTAACGTAAATGCTAGTTGTCTTACGCTATATTATCTTTTTGATGGTTTCTCGAATATCTTATGTAATTATGTAAAATGGCTGCCTGTTTTTGTTCATACTATGTCAATTATAGACATAATACATGTAAAATTAGGGAAATACGTACAAAAAAAAATAAATAAATATGTAAGACCAACGAGGAATCCATTTTTCTTTGAAAGCAAACTTTTCTTACGATAACCAAACTATAGCGGCTCAGAATTGGTTTATGTATTTTACTTTATATTATACAATATACATGAAGTTGATTAATCACATTAAGCTTTTCTTTAGATGCATGTCAAATGGTTAGGGTTCTCTCTTTTGTTTGCGTGTGTGGTCTGTTTCTCTTTAATTTATCATATCATAATAAATTTTTTTTTATTCCCCATTCTCACTTTTCCACTGTCATTTTAAAAAATAATAGATGAAAAAATAATTAGAAATTCAAAATCATTAAGTAAACACAATACGTCTTTGACAGAGCAGCAGCGAAACCAAGAAATAAATAATCCTAACGGAACAAATAGGTTTTATCCAACGAGATCAAATAATGAAGTTGACCGCCTGCAACAACAGCATTTTCTCGTTCAACATATATTCGGAGGTAATTTCTCTTGTCCAATAGAAAATATGCTAAAAAGAGGCGCACGCGTTTTGGATGGAGGGTAAGTTATATATAAACTCTAAATTCACTTTTGGTTTTAAATCTGTTTTCCTAATCTTGATTTTTACGCTTGATTTGGAAGGTGTGGACCGGGAGCTTGGATTCTTGAGATGGCGACGAACTATCCAAACTCTCAATTTTTTGGTGTTGATATTGAACCAACCTTTCCAAGTCAAATTAAGCCGGCAAACGCAAACTTTTATCAGTGTGACCTGATGCAGTTGGAACAACTAGAATTCGAGGAAAACTCATTTGATGTAGTCCGAATATGTCTGCTGTTTCTTCTTATTAATAACAATTATGCCAAAGTTATTGAGAATATGTTAAAGTATGTAATTGTCTCTTACTTTGATTGTAAATTATTCAAATGTTAATTACAAATGTTAATTATTTTTTTAGACTTTTAAAGCCGGGCGGTTATTTTGAAATAATAGAGTCAGATGTTCCGTCCGCAAATTGCGGACCAAATTTTCTACGGCTACTGAAAATTCGTAAGCGTATAATTAATTAACCTTAATGCTCTTTTTGCAATTGATTTGATTAATTAATGATAATATCGATATAATATCAGTTGAACAAGGGTTATCAGCCGAAGGAATAATCGGTAATCTCTCAACAAATCTCCAACAAGCGTTTACTGCCACTGGACAATTAAAGAATATTCAACGATTAGCAAAGGTAACGAAGCTTGGTCCACCTGGAGGTCTCGCTGGAAAATTACATATGGACTCACTTGATGAGTTCTTTGATGGCATTGTTGGGCAAGCGATAGGTGAACGAATGGAGATGACACCAGAAGAGTACAATCAGTTTTGGCAAGGATGTAAAGCCGAGTGTCTTGAATTCTCAACGGAGATTATGTTTGAAAAACTTTGGGGGGAGAAACTTGTTTGATCTTGACGATAGATTGCATATCGATATACTCCACTCCCGTTATAGCTCGCTGTAGCGGATCAATGCGTCAGAACAGAATTTTTATACTGTTATAGTCAACTCTCCCTAAATGCAACCTCTATAAGTGCACACGCACGCTTTTGTTCGGTCCCTAGATTATAAGACCTTTAAATAATTCTCCATAAATACTACATGTCTGATTAGTCATATGGTCCCGGCGAATTGCATTTAGGTCAGTTGACTGTATTAACCAAAAATAAAATAGAATTTCAACATGGCATCATAAATAAAAAAACCCTTCACATTAATAAATCAAAAAGTTGGTAATTTTGATATTTGAAAAATTTCAACGGCTCTTTACGGAACTCTTAATAATATCGATATTATTACGACTGAACCCTTAAATATAAATCATTGAAAATGTTTAAATGATTTGAATATTGAGGGTTTTACAACATAAATGAATCATCTATATTAAGTGTTAAAACTACTTCGTTAAATAAAGTTACTACCGTTAACAAGATTATTTTGGTGGTGGTCTTTGCTCCTATTTTTGCGGATGGGATACATAAACACGTTTTTAGTACTTTTTTTTTTTTTTAGCACGTAACTACACGTATAAGCACAGACTGTCAAATTCGTGCCATTAAAAAACCATGCCCGAAACGTGTTTATGTATACATAAGTTGTCGCGTTTGCCGTACTTGTACGTACCATGCCTATATTTTGTTATATGAACAAAAGAACCGAAGTGGTCTATTAGTAAAAACTGTTTCTCTGGACACAACTTCGGTTTAACGGGAGGTTTACTGTATATCTAGACTCCTGTCAAATTTTACAATAGATACTATATTTTCAATATTTAAATGATAAAGATCTAATTTATTGTTTAAAAGTAGTCGGTAGTAAAAATCATACAAGTTCTTTTGATCTTACTCATTAAATTTACGTATGTTGGTTAATTTTTAAAAGAATCATTTGAGGTTTTGAGATAAAATTTTTTCCCATCAAAATAGCAAAAGAAATAAATCAAAATTCTCAAGATTTCTGAATCTTTTATATGACTAATTATTTTATTATGTTGAAAAAATTTCGGATAAATGTTTCCTAGATAGCATGATTTTTCACTAATAAATATACTGGATTGAATCTCTAACGAAAATAAACTTATTTCTTCATGAGCTACAATATTTTTTCAATACTAAAATCTAGCACTTTCACAAAATAACATACAAATGTAAGAATAAGTATACTTGCATAGAGGCATCTTAAAACATTATGTGAATCAACAAACTGTACGTCTCGGTCTATCTTGGAATTTTGATAGTGCGCGGTCGAAAGGATGCTAAGCATCGAGACTACAACAAATCAAATGGTGAACTAAAAACTGTACCTTCACTATTCTCACACAATCTAAACTTTACGTTATATAATTTTTGGGATTGCAAATAATAACTGAATGCTTGCCGTATTAACTGTTTATTCGAGGGCTTCACTATTTTATTTTTGTTTAGATTTAAAATAAATTCTCTGTTCTATTTGTATATATTTAAAAATACAAATAAAGTTAGGGCCGTGACATATATTACATAATATAGGCTTACTATAGAGCCACCCCTCCCACAGGTAAGCATGTGACTTTATATATTGCATAAGACATAAGACACTGTCAGTACATCTCCCCCCAAGGATATTACGCAATATCTGTCACAGCCCTTACGTAGAGCCGGAAAATTTTCAAGTAAAGTGTTATTTTTAAAATTACAGGTTACTATTATATTTTCTCTGAATTTCTATTTTGAAATATTAAAACGATCAAGTTTTTTGGGATACCAACCACATTTAAAAAGAATAATATATAAATATGATGCCATGAAATATTTTGTACTAAAATGAATTATTAGTGAACTTGGCAATAAAACTTTGTTTAATCCTATTAAGAAACCTTTTCTTAATTTAGGAGAGTACACGCAAATGCTACTACGTATTTAGAACTTTAGCATATATAACGCCCTGTAAAAAAAATAACCTGGTTTTTAGTTCCGGAAAATCACAAATTTACTGGATCAATTTTTAAATTTTTTGCTCAAAATTTCAAGGAATGCATTATTCCCTAACACATCATAAATTCACCTAGTTTGGTGAATTTAATGGTAGTAATTTTTACAAAAATGGTCTGGTAATTCTTAAGTATCATGTTTCAAAGTTGCTGATTTTTTGAAAAACTTATTTTAATTTGGAACACTTAATTTGAAGTATAATATCTCATGACTTACCAGGTTAAACTCCACCAAAATTTAATCACTCTTACAATAAATCTCAGTAAATATGTGGCTATAGTTTTATCCAATTTGGTTAAGTGAGTCATGAGATATTAATCCATTTTTAAAAAATGAAAAATTATTCAGTAAATTTGGGACATGATAGCTCACAATAATATTATATATCGATATATACAGTGGCTCACACATGTAACCGAACACGAAAATTAACTTTCTAGCATTTTTATTTCCATGAATATTAGTTTGGACAAAATAAAAGAGTGTTCATTTGAAACCCTGAAACTCTAATATTTTTTAAAGATAATTTGACAACAGATTATTTTGTGAAATAGAGTGATTTAAATCAAAATTTACAATTAGTAAATTTCTTACATTAAAGAACTTTTTTTCTATGATGGATTCAAATTTAAACCACTAATTAAAAATGTTCTACTCTATGAAATCTACCTATTTACCAGTTTTCATAAAAATTGGCCTCAAATTCACCGACCCCAAAGGACCGAATCTATGCTAGGAGCATTGATTCATGTATTAATGATCCTAGCGTAGATTCATACTTTAGGATCTTAAATATCTATATAAATCAAGTTGATTTTTATGAAATTTGGTAAATAAGTAGATTTTATAGAGTAGTACACTTTTAATTAGTGGTTCAAATCATAGAAAAAAAGTTCTTCAATGTGAGAAATTTATTAATTGTAATTTTGATTTAAAATACTCTATTTTACAAAATAATCTGTCGTCAAATTATTTTTTAAAAATATTAGTGGTTTCACGTTTCAAATGAACACTTTTTTCTTTTGCTCGAACTAATAGTCATGGAAATAAAAATTCTAGAAAATTAATTTTCATGTTCCGTTACATGTGTGAGCCACTGTACCAAATTTACCGGATAATTTTCACTAAACTGGTGGTTTTCCGGAACTCAAAAAAACTGGATTTTTGCCTGATTAATTTTTTTATAGAGAGCTGAATTTCGTTATCGAGCGTCTTGTAATTGTACCGGTACGTGTATAGGTTATTGATAGCATAAAAAATAATTTTTCACATCTATCATACATGTACAATATTCAGAATCCTTGATTTGAAACTTTCCGAGGTATTACCTAACGCTAATATTTGGCCAAGTCTTTTTTTAATAATAATCTCGGTTATATTACAGATAGCGATAGTTCTAAACCCTTCCTCCCCCATATGTTTCAAAACCTCATCGAATTTGTGTCTCAGTTATATACATGTATTTAAGTTTTCAGACTGAAAAGTCAAGGTAATATGGATACATAAAATACGCTCCAAATATAAATGACATTTCTCTAATGAACTATATTATTTGATAAGTCTCCTCACGGACTTACCACATCTTTCGAATGTTGATATACTTATGCATGGAAACTTCTCTTTTCGGATTGCAGTTACAGTCCGACGTGCAGATCCTATTGTAAACAATATAAATTCAATAGAATCTGCATATCGAAAATCAGTTTAGAGATGATCTCCAATACCGTTTAGCACTATATATAATATCCAGGGTATTGTGTATGAAACTGGGTATTATATTTGGAGTAATTATCGATATTATTTAGGTGGTCTATTATAGAATTTTATATAATATATAAAGTGCTAAACGGTACTACACTTGGTGGACAAAAGTTTACAATCAGCAATGATCTACAAATGTAGACCACGAAAATTAGGGTAACTTCGACA